AATATCTCTTTTAAGAAACTAGTAAAATAATTTAAATATATATGCTTTTCTTTGGTAAATTAATATGATTTGAAAAATAAAAATCCTCCATATAACATATTTTAAATAATTAATCAATTTAAAATATCAAAATAAAAACCAAATACCAATACATCTGAAGAAAGATATTTACTAATACTACCAGGAAATTAACAAAAATTTATATTAAATCTAGATTAATCTTACAAATAGAAAGATAAACCAAAAATATTGCAACGTAGTACAACTAAAATATAAGAAAAAGCATTATCAAATACAAAAGTTTAACTTAATTGTAATGCAAACTATGCTTACAATTTACAGTTAACTGACTTCTTTGATTAACAATAAATTTTTTTCAAAAACTCTGATGATTTCGAGTTTTTAATGTAAACACAGAAAATATGATTCATATAAAGATCTACTTGTCCTTGCCATTTTAAATATTTGCCATTTCACTTCTTTAGGAGTCTGATTATCATCTTTTAAACTCGAATTTTTTCAAAAGTCGTATTATCTATTGTAGAGATAGTACTCAGATAAGACAGGGATTTAGTTAAGCATTTGCTTAGCAAAACGCATTGGTCAGAATTCCTACAATCACATTGGCAAATATCAATAATATTTATCTTGGAACGTGTATTTTGATTCAGATTATTAAATTGGATTAAAATTTTATTATAATCTCAATATTATTGGTACAGCTATAACTTCTAATGTGTTTGTGTCATATATATATATATATATATAATAAAAAGAAATACTGTTTTTCATTTTATAATAATTATTGGTTTGTCTTGGACAAAGAGCTCTTGACAGATCTATATCATCTTGGAAATTTAAATACGGATTTTAAACCAATTAATTTTATTATTAATATATATATATATATATATATATATATATATTTAAAAATACGTTTCTATCAGCCATTTCCATTCCACTAAATGGAAATTGGTCTCTAAATAATGCCTTGGATAATATTTGTTGATTAATATATATATATATATATATATATATATATATATATATATATATATATATAATGATTTAAAAATTTAAAAAAAAATGCCCATCAAGCGAAAATGAATTACTGTCTCTTGATATAATTGAATTGATCTTTTTTATCTACCAATCCATCAATCACATGATCTGTTCAAACAGTCTGAGTTAAAACCTTTTCGATTTTCATTTTTTTTCATTTGTTTCTTTTATCAAGCGCCATTTTTACGCAAACATGTACACATAATTATTGGCAAACCCACACACACACATACATATATAATCAAACAAACACATACACATATATTTATTGAAATTTATTAATTAAACATACATATTTAAACACACACACATATATATATATATGTGTGTGTGTAATTTGTGGTTGTTTTATATTAAATAAATTTGAACTTAGAAAGTGTTCCATATCAATGATTTTAGCTAACATATTCAGTTATGGACATTATAAAGGATGATCCTTTTTTAGAGATTTTGCGATCATCAGACACTCTGATGGTAAATGATTTGTTTAATGTCCAAAAATTTGATTTCAAAGGATCACTGCCTTTTAATAATAATGATACTTACACTCTTTGGGTTATATGTCCTCAGGACATTTTATTCAAAATGGATGGACAAATTTGGCGTTGATTAGATTTAAAAAAAAAATTTGTCTAGTTCAAAAAATTTAAAGGCAGGAATTTTCATTTTTTAAAAGGAATAACTGATAACTGATATCCATTAAACATGGCACGTGGAACTAGAACAGTCTACCCCAGTGAGCAAAATAAATTAATGTTCGAAAAAAAACTACCTGAAGAAGGCCGGAGAGCGTACAAAAAAACGTTGTAATAAATATGGTGACAAAGATGAGGACAATAGTTCGAATAATGTAAATAATGTATTATTTATGTTACAAATATTTTTAACAATAATAATAAAAACTGTTCTCATATATTTGATGATAATTTTATACTTTTAAAAATTATTTTCTTATTTATTGTTTAATTTCTAAAGTAATAATAATACTGAAGTATTGGTTACTCCGACATCCATTGTAAAATATATATGTTTTTATGCGTTTATCTATCGACGTACCTCTGATGGTAAAATATATGTGTGTGTTTATACGTATATCTATGGGCGTACCTCTGATGGTAAAATATATGGATGTGTTTATACGTTTATCTATGGGCGTACCTTGTCGTATTGAAGGGACTTGTTTTGTCCAATTACTCTGAAAATCATGATGTCGGAAGTTCTAAACTCCTGGTAGGGGCAACCTTATCAGCAAGGTCGAAGACGAGGACCTAGATCAGGCGCGACCAAATCCAAAGACCCAAAGCGGATGAAGATTACAACAGATCACAACGGTCAAACCAGCGGATGAGGGCTACGCATGACGGACATGCTACAGAAGGCGTCGCTCGAAATTATAACAGTCCGCAGTCAGCAACAGTCTGTTCAAATTATTATAACTAGATTCTGCATTTCTTATTCCATATGTACCTTAAAGGAAGGTCATGAAATCAAGCGTGTGTGTCATTTTATGGCAAGTTTAGGTCTACCTTAAACAGATTCATGCCACTGGCACTTTCTTCTATTCTGTTTTTATTTCATCTTCAACTATCTCTTGAAAAGCCAAACGGTGATAAAAAATGGATGACGGGAGAAGGTTTTGGTGAAACTAGAAGCTTTTAGTCCTGAAACTGAACGTTGGCGGCAAATTTAGTTATCAACTCTATCATCATAATTGTAGTGATCAGTAAAGAAGAAATTAAATTCTTGGATACGTGATAAAGCAGACGAAACAACTGGTTTATTTCAATTCTGACTTATTCACGTTTACTTAAACGAATCTCATGTTAATTAAGATGCCGTCATTTAAACGACCAAACTGAATCATTTGATTATATTCCTAAGATGAGTTATTTTAACTCATTATTTAGATTGCTCTGACTGTTATCATTATCTCAATTGTCATCTTCACAACGTTTCGGCCTGAAAGGTAAAGGAGATGAAACAGATTCACAGTGATTTCACTGAGCAACCCATGAATGTGGAGGTTATATATCAACACATTTCAGGAAATAAACATAGGAAGAACGTCTACACAAACGTCATCTGACCAATCTTCAGAAACACCACCATGCAGATTGAATATTCTGTGTTCGGTTCAAAATTCCAACAAATATCACCTGAAGAAGCCTGGAGCACACAACAGCCGAAACATCGTGAATATGGCAATAAAGATGAGGAAAACTGTCCGAACAATGTAAATGAAATTTTTAAATGTATCTTTACAAAACCTGAAAATGAAGAAAAGATAATCTCCATATTCAATGTTCACTACTTCTCTTTTTTTATCTTGAGTTTTTTCTTTGTGTACTGAATAAAATTATATATATATATATATATATATATATATATATATATATAATAAAATGAGCTCAAATCTATCTACACATCTGGCTTTTTTTTCTATCTATTCATCCTAATATATATATATATATATATATATATATATATATATATATATATATATATATATATATATATATAGCTGGACAGACTGGGTTCTATAGCCTTGGATGGCAACTGGTCTAGGAGAAGGACAACTCTGAATAAAAAACCTCCTGAGGGTCGTTTGAATTTTTTATAGTGCACCAGGTCTCTGAATTCGGCCCTTCAAAAACCAAATGGATGGTCCTGAAAAGAAACATTCACCACTATAATCAAATCTCATGTGCTGTTGTCGGTTTCCTGGGAATTGATCTAATTTATTTTACGTCGAGCTTTGGGTGAGCCGACGACGACGACATATATATTACGATGAATAATATATATATATATATATATATATATATATATATATATATATGTACGTCACAGTATATTCAAATTTCTATATTTTCATATATATATATGAAAATATATATATATATATATATATATATATATATATATATAACATATCGGGCGGCATTTAAGCTAGCTCCTGTGGAGGGATCTTTGATTGGGCTTTCATCACAATAGGTTGGGAGGAGTAAATGCCATAGACATCAATAAGCTACAGGAGAACTCAAAATTGATCGCTGCATTTAAGTATTGCATTAATATTTAAACTTATCTTTTAAAAGTTCAAGGATAACTTTTCTGTCGCCACTTAATTTAAAGACAATTTGATGTACGTAGGTCCTTACTTTCCGTACAAACAATTACTTTTATTCCATGGGTGACCTTTCGCTGGATTTCGCAATTAATTTCGATTATTCCCAAATTTATTTACAAGTTATGAAAATTGTTATCGTACAAAAAAAAATTCGTCAAAAAAATCAAAAAAAAAAAAAATCGCCGAAAACAATCGCAGTAATGAAAACTTGGGAATCCAAAATTTCAGGATTGCGGGTCTGGATCCGAACCGGAATGTTTTTAATTTGCTCATGGAGTCGGCCTGATTCCAAAATGGTATGATATGTTGGGTTACGGTCTCTAGGAGTGAAGTTGAAAAAGTGTGACACAGTGACACACTGACATTCGCATTTGTTAGATGGATATGTTTTTATCCAAACTAAAAGCAAAAAAAAATCACTACCCTCTGTTTTAAAAATTTTCAGAAATCCAATTAATCCGACTTAAACGAAATTTTCACTACTTATTCATTTAATGAATGAATTATAATACTGAATATGTCATTTTAATTAGAAAACTTTTTGAAATCATTTTTTTTTTTTTTTTGAGGAATCAGTTTAATTTGAGGGGTGTTCGCAAAATTTTACTGGTATTTAAAAAAATCTATGAAAAATTGAAAAATGTTTTTTAATTTGATGAATAAAGATTCGGCTTGGTTCCAAAATGGTAGTATATGCTAGGCTACGGACTCTTGGAGTAAAGTTGTAAATGTTTGACACACTGACAATGGCATTTATTATATAGATGTATTGTAAATGTGTTGTAAAAAAATCCACACGTGTGGTTATATGGTCATACCTATCTTTAATATTCTATCTACTGTAATCTTTTCATGTCTATATTATCTATATTATCTATCTATCTATCTATCTATCTATCTATCTATCTATGTTTATATTTTAATTCTCTATCTATCTATCTATATTTACCTTTTAATTATTTATCTATCTATCTATTTTTACCTTTTAATTATCTCTCTATCTATCTTTACCTTTAATTATCTATCTATCTATCTATCTATCTATCTATCTATCTATTATTTTTACCTTTTAATTATCTATCTATCTATAAGGAACAAATCTATCTATCTTTATTTTTTTATTTATCTATCTATCTATCTTCACCTTTTAATTATTTATTTAGAATCTATCTATCTATTTTACCTTTTAATTATCTATCTATCTTTACCTTTTTTTTATCAATTATCTATCATATATCTATTCTATATCTATCTATTCTATCTATATCTATATATCATTTTATTTAATTATATATCTATATATATCTATCTAATTTGCAAATCTAAACTCTATATATATATATATATATATATATATATATATATATATATATATATATCATTATTAATTATCCACATATCTATTTGTCTAAAATTTTCTTTCTTTTTTTCTTTCTTTCTTTCTTTCTTTCTATTTATCTATCTGTCTATTTGTCTGTCTATTAAAATAACTACGAAAAACATGTTGAATAATTAATTTGCTATTCACACAATCAAATATCGTTAAAAAAAAATAAAGATGAAAGTCAAAACCGAAAAATAGTGACATCACATAAACAAAATTGACGCTGACGAATTACTTCATCAGCTTCATAACGTTTTCTCTTTTTAGTTTCTTTCTAAATTTACATCTTTATTCGTTTAATTTTACTTTTTCCAATTTTTTTTTCTTAAAACTTGTTTTAAACAATTGATTTCGCCTCGAAACGAAAAAGATGTATGATCTGATATTTATCATTTTCGTGAAGAATTTTTCTCTCTTTTTTGTTTTTCTTCCTATTTTCACTTTCACATCCGTTTTATTTAAACTTAGTTTTGGATTTTGTCTCCCTATTCCAACTTCGAAAAAATATATATATATATATATAAATTAGGAGGACAGCCTACCCTGTTCACAAAATGACTTCTTTTAATTGAAGAAGTCAATAATAATATAATAATCGCTGAAAGGCAGTGCGTTATGAATCAACACTGTATCGACAGAACACAAAAGATGGATAAACAAGAAAATCAATTGATTTGACGCAAGCCAAAGTAAATACGTTCTCTTCTTCAAGTATTTTTTTTCCAAAACTCCCTATTAGTAGCAAGTAAACTTAGTCTGGCGTAAGGCCAACTGGGAGAAAATTAACAAGTGCGTTGAACTCAAAAGGAATACCGTTTCATTGCGGCGTACATTTCGACCTCAAGATCTTTAGCTCAAAATTCTGATTTAGGCGTATGACTACCGTATTAGATCAACCCCCAGCATATGGTAGGCTACAAGTCGACAATTATTACAAATTCGAATCAAGATCTTTAGCTCAAAATTTGATTTTTATATTTTTTGTTTTTTAACCCCCAAGCCTATGGTAGGCTACAAGTCGACACGGTGTACAAGTCACGGTGTACAAGTCGACACGGCGTAAAAGTCAACCTCAAGATCTGTAACTCAAAATTCTGACTTTTTAAAAATCGATTACATCTGACCGGGAGCAGTAATATTGCTCATTCATCTCCAGATTTTATGAAGAGTCTCTATATAGATAGCAGGACCGCCATACCATATGTGGCAGCAATATTGGACGAATGGTAGATGTAAGATAGGTTCTGTAGAAAAGAAATTGTCCAAGACGACACAGTGAACCAACTTTCCTAGATGCAGAGCTAGCAATTGATTCAATAAAATCTTTTCTATTTCATGTCAATAGAAAACATTAACACAGTGAATCAATCTTCTGGAGGTTAGCATCAGCCATGCTGATGGAAGGCAAAATGAATACTCAGTGCATGGACAAATAGTGTCGTCGTCAGCTTTATCTTGTGTCCAAATATTTAATTTCTTCTTTGCTGATCAATTTCTTTATAATTTATGATGAATTTAAGTTTTTGTCAAAATGCAATTACTGGACCAGGAGATTCCAGTTTCACCAAACCTTGCTCCTGTATCCATTTCCTACCGCAATTTTGCATATTTGATTTGCATATGAAAATTATAATTTAATTTTATGCCGATGGTGTGAATTTTTTAAGATGGGCCTCAACTTGGGAATAAAATGAACAAATTTGTTTTCATGAGTTCTTCTTTGTGGCACATATCAAATGAGACATTATAAATTCAGTTATGATGCTGCAATGGACTGCCACTGACTTTTATAAATATTATTTTTTGAACAAAAATTTTTTGTGTTTGAAAAAAAGAAAACCAAATAGGCAATAAAACAAAAGTTGTATTTGCAAAGACCCGGCAGTTTATTTATTATAAACAGTTAGAGTTACATAAGACATTTTTTTTTAATGTAACCGCATAAATAAACGACCATTTTCAAAATTTTCAATTGAAATGAGTCATAACACTTTGGCGACCATGTCTAAAAAATCACAGCGGCGAACGCCTAAATATGGCAGCATTCAGAGAGTCGACCGTGTAATTTTTAATTTTTGATTTTCTTAAACTTAAATCAAAAAGTAATTTGAGGAAGGGCGGCCACAATTATGGCGACCTGTTCAACTTTGCATTCAGCCACGCCTAAATCGTAGCATATATTTATTTGCAGATTTGAAAAAAGACGTCTTGCCTCTGTTAAAAGAAGAAAAAAAAAATTTGAAAGTTTTATATTGAGATCATTTAAAATTATCTGAAAGGAGCATCTTGAAATAATTGGATGGAAAAAAATTTTTAAATATATAACGTAAAAAATAAGGACTCAACCCTGCACACAAAATACTAAAGATTTTTTTAGTTCTTTAATATTTTTCTATATAATTTACACACACACACACACACACACACACACACAATACACACACACACACACACATATATATATATATATATTTATTTATTTATTTATAAAATGTTTTTTTTTTCAAATTTGGGGAATGGATAAAAGGATAGTCTTCTTCTAAATATTTAACGTTAAACTTAAATATCCAAAACACTGATCTAATCATACAACAAATTATTGTTTAAAACACCAAAAACAACGCAAAAATTCTCACGTTTCTTTTACATTCACCATAAATTGATGAATTTTTTTTATGAAAGTCCTAACTAGTATATTTATTTTACAATTCATTCATTTGTGGGGGGGGAAAAAAAAACAATATAAAAGGAGCTCATTTCTGACAATTAAACCATGGAAGTAATTTTTAGAAAATTTTCAGGAAAATTTTTTTCTATACTATCAGAAATGAATATAATATGCTGCAGTTGAAAAAGCATGGGTTCAAAAAACATCAAAATATAAAAACAGAGGTATTAAAAAAAAAACAGAAGCACATGAATACTGAAACAGTTTCGGCAAAGTGAAAGATCGCCTGGAACTAAGAATTAGTAAAAATAGAAGAATTTAGATTGGTTTCACAAAGGACAAAGTTATCTGGTGACCGTTCCAAAGGAAAAGATTCTACTCTATAGATGTATTAACGGATACCACAGATATTAGAGAAAGAAAGGTCATTTTCGTAGATGATTTTTGAAATATGGTTTAAATAAAAAATAATGACGTAAAAATGTCGATTTGGACGTTAAAAAATACATCAAAAAACGACATTATTACGTCATTATTTTTTTGCACCAACCTAAAACGTGCTATTTATAATTAGGGCGATTGTTGGTCAAAACTGCCTGTAAGAAAAAAAAGTTGCCAAAGTCTTTTTGGGGTTGAACGTTCTTTCGGAAACAGGTATTTCCCATGATAAAATCTAATAAATTTTAGCTATAAAAAAAAAAAAACTTGCCAAAATTTTGTTTTATTAGAATTGTTGTAAAAACTAAATATATGATGAAAGTATTGATAATAAAAAAAAAAAATGTTAAAAAATAATTCAATTTTGCAAAAAAAAAAAAAATACGGTGCGAAAAAAAAAATACAGAAGAAAGAAAGAAAAAAAAAAGAAAGAAAGAAAGAATTTTTGGAATAAAAAAATATTAAAAAAAAAAACATAAAAGGATGAAAAAAAAAAAAAAATATTAAAAAAAGAAAGAAAGAAAGAAAGAAAGAAAGAAAGAAAGAAAGAAAGAATGTAAGGAAAAAGATTGTTGAAAATAATGAAATATTAGGCAGGAATTATCAAAGAAAGAAACAAAGAAACAAAAAAAGAAACAAAGAAAAAAAAGAACGGTAAAAAGCGAGAGAAGAGAAGAAAAATAAAAAAAGAAGAAAAAAGAAAAACTATAGAAAGTTGAAGGAAATAAATGAAAAAGAAAGAAAGAAATTATGAAGAAAATGAAAAAAAAAAAAAAAAGAAAGAAAATGAAAAAAAAAGGAAAGAATCTTTTCTCTCTAAAAATTTGAAGGAAATAATTTCAAAAGAAAGAAAGAAAGCTAAAAGATAAATCAAACCCACGCGAAGAAGAAAGATAAATCGAAATAAATAAAAAAAAAAGAATATTATTTAGGAAAATAAATGAAGAAAGAAAAAAAAACAGATAAAAAAAAAAAAAAAAAAAAAAAAAAAACAAAAAATTAAAGCAACAAAAAAAAAAAAAAAGAGAATTTTTGATGAGAGAAATAAGCGTGAGGAAAGGAAATGAAAATTAAGAAAGAAATGAATGGATGAAAAGAAAAGAAAGGAAAAGAAAAGAAATGAAAAAGAAAAGAAAAGAAAGAAAGAAAAGAAAGAAAAAGAAAATAAAGAAAGAAAAGAAAAGAAAAGAAAGGAAAAGAAAAGATTCTGAAAAAAAGAAAAGAAAAAAGAAATTAAAAAAAAAAAAAGAAAAAAAGAAAAAAAGAAAAAAAAAAAAAAAAAAAAAGAAAAAAAAGAAAAAAGAAAAAAAAAAAAGAAAAAGTTGAAAAAAAAAGAAAAGAAAAAGAAAGGAAATGAAAAGAAAAGAAAAGAAAAGAAAAAGAAAAGAAAGAAAAAGAAAATAAAGAAAGAAAAGAAAAGAAAGAAAACGAAAAGAAATGAAAAAGAAAAGAAAAGAAAGAAAGAAAAGAAAGAAAAAGAAAAGAAAGAAAAGAAAAGAAAGAAAACGAAAAGAAAGGAAAAAGAAAAGAAAAGAAAGAAAGGAAAGAAAGAAAAAGAAAATAAAGAAAGAAAAGAAAAGAAAAGAAAGAAAAAGAAAAGAAAGGAAACGGAAATGAGGTGAAAAAAAGAAAGCAAGAAAGAATAATAAAAAAAAGTTAATAATGTAAAAAAAAATTCCTTAAGATGTTTCAATATCCCGTTAAATAATGCTCCCAATTTCCATAATATATTTTTAATTTCCATGACTCATTTCGGGAGGGTCTTCTTCCTAAACCAATGGATTTTTCCTATTTTTAAAGGTACAAAGCAAGAAAGAAATATCCGACGATAAAAAAAAAAAAGATATCCTCAAAATAGATGAAGAACACCAGTGAGTTGAGCCAATTTCAATGGATTTTTTCCCTCTTTCGATTGAAGCCAAATTACATGAGCAGAAGTACGTAAACAACAACAACAACAATATTTATTCCTTTAGTTTGAAGCTAAAACGTTAGAATCCTTTTTTTATTATTATTATTATTAAGGACATTTTATGCATGTTTTCTTTGCAATTCATTTCGGACCACCTGTCGAAGGGATCTTTTGTCGTAGATTTATTTTTATTTTACATGAAAAACAGTTTTAAGTTTGGTTCAAAAAATGTATTTCCTGATTAGTTGCTATATGCAAGCGTGTTTTGGGATTTTGTTTTTCTTTCGGTGAAAAGATACAATTTAAAATAATTGGGGAAACGCTAGATAGCGTGGAAATAAAATACGGAAGGAAGGGACAGGATGTCAATTTGTCCCTTATCTATCTATCTATCTATCTATCTATCTATCTATCTATCTATTATCACAGTCTGTTCATATCTATCTATCTATCATGTATGTATGTATGTATCTATCTATCTATCTATCTATCGATTTATTATCACAGTCTGTTCATATCTATCTATCTATCTATCTATCTATCTTTATTATGCATGTAGGTATCTATCTATCTAATTATTTTCATTATGTATATATATATATATATATATATATATATGTATTTATTTATGTATGTATGTATGTATGTATGTATGTATCTATCTATCTAAAACCTTCCTTCATATCTATGTGTACATATATAATATCTATCTATCTATCTATCTATCTATCTATCTATCTATCTAATTAAAAAAAATATGTATGTGTGTATATCTATCTATCTATCTATCTATCTATCTATCTATCTATCTATCTATGTATGCATGTATCTATCTATCTATCTATCTATCTAATTATTTTCATTATCTATCTATCTATCTATCTATCTACATTTCTTCATATCTATCTATGTATGTATGCATGTATCTATCTATCTAGTTATTTTCATTATGTATGTATGTACGCGTGTATCTAACTATCTATCTATGTGGCTATCTATCTCAATCACTTCATATCTCTCTATCTCTCTCTATCTCAAATATCACTTCATATCTATCGATCTACCTAAATCTATCTATCTATCTATCTATCTATCTATCTATCTATCTATCTATCTTTATATATGTTTCATTGAGTGCTGTGTTAATCATAGGCTTCTATATATATATATATATATATATATATATATAGGTAAAAAATTTGGGTAAATCTAAGAATATATATATATATATATATATATATATATATATATATATATATATATATATATATATATACTAGCAGGCTTTAATTCAAAGGAAGATATTTTCACTACTTGAAATATTTAAAATTAAAACTTTAAATGAACGGTTCATTCATAAATTGGCGTATTATAGTTAAAGAAAGTTTTACAAATAGATGCCAACTTATTCAAGGCCAAGTAAATTGCAAATTTCAAACAATTTTATGCACTATATAAAACGATATTGCTAAACCGATCTATTTTTGATACGAAAATCAAAACAATCCTCAAATAAAACAGTAATGAAGGGCAGTTAATTAATGAAATAACCTTTTTAAAAAATGAAGATGAAAATTAGTTAAACCTGAAGAGTGAAGCCTAGAATAGGTAATATATAATACAGATGCTGAACTTGTAATGTGTAAATTGCAATAAAGTGGAGCCGGATCATTTAATCTCAGAATTTGTGGGAGAATCGAGCTCCAATTTTGCATTTATTCATATAGATTCCATAATATATGTTTTACTTAATTAGCTATTACGTTTCTCTAACTCTTCAAATGTTGAATGTATAATGTTGGGGCGCCCCCACCTTCTGACAGATAATGGACTGATCCCTCTACGATATAGGTCAGTGCCAGAGAGATCAGAGGAGACTAGAGAGATCTGGAGATCAGGTGACCATTGCACTTCCGTCTCTCTACCGGATTTTACCGTTGGACTTTAGATTCTTGCTGATTGTTATTACGAATCCTGCGTTCGGTATTACTAATCACTCTGTTGTTAAATACCTCTTCAAATATACCTTTTTTTCTAAAATTCATCTGTGTTTGTCTTCATTTTCACATTTATTCATAAGATTCCATAATATAGGTTTTACTTAATTAGCTATTACGTTTCTCTAACTCTTCAAATGTTGAATGTATAACTAATTCTAATTTATATTTTCCCAACTTTACACTATATTAATGTTATCTTATAAATTGTTCCATGTTCTGTCGCCGATAAAATAAAACATAATAGTTTGTACGGAAAATAAGGATATACGTACATCAAATCATCTTTAAATTAAGTGGCAACAGAAGAATTATCGTTGAACTTTTAAAAATTAAGCTTAAACATTAATTCAATACTTAAATGCAGCGATCAATTTTGAGTTCTTCTGTAGTTTATTGATGTCTATGGCATCTACTTCTCCTTAGCTATTGTGATGATGGCCAAACCAAGAATCCTCGATAGGTCCTAGCTTAAACACCGCCCGAAATTTTAAACTAGCTGCAATTTTGGATACAAAAGGAAAATAAGAGTTACTCAATTTAAACTTGTGAAAGCAAGGATAATGGCTAAAGTATTAATATATATATTTAACCTCGCATAATCCGGCAACTTGAATCCGAGCTCAATGAAAATCGTTTCCTGTGTCTAACTTTTCTAGTGGTTTTTCAATGAACTATGATTCATTCAAATCGGACCAGTGGGAGTGGCGTGGGTTGCTTGGATACATAAACGCGCAAACAGTCACATACTTTATATATATATATATATATATATATATATATATATATATATATATATATATCTGTCTTTCTGTCTAATTATTCATTTGCCTGTTCATTATCTATCTATCTATCTGCCTCACTATATTTATGTATCACTTTGAGTGACCATATACATGTACACCCATATATATATATATATATATATATATATTTGTGTTTTCAACAACAGGTTCCGAGCATGTCACTGTTATTAACTGATTTTTAAAAAAAATTTCATCTGAATTTTTCATTATACAATATTCCATATTTGTGATTACAATTCACCAGGGAATTAAGTGCATTAACAGGAAGAGAGATTATGCTGAAAAATAATAGTTCTTGATTAAAAAATGCTTTTTCCTTCATTAAGCTCTGTCTGAGTTTTTGACGCAGCCATTAGCGTAGCCGTTCGCGCGAAAAAAAATTGTCGACATTCATTTCGACACAGAATCCTTTTATCTCAAGGGAATTTTCGCGCTTAATTTTATGCAATACGTCTAAAGTTAAAATGGAAGTCGACATTTTTTTTTGTTTTGTCAAAAAGTTAAGTAAATTCGTGAATAATTAATTAACTAAATTGAAATGAATAAAATGTTTTCTTAAAAGAATATACGAGAGTCGTTTAAAAAGTTCTTAGCCCCACCTAGAAATAAGAGACATAGATGAACCTTTTTGCGTTGAGGGAACGCACTTCTTTCTTCTTGTTTTATGTGCCATATACACAAAAGGACATAGGCATCATGGCTCTCCACATCCTCCTGTCTCTCATAATTTTGTTATTTTTTTTATTTCTCCCAGACCCTGTTCCGCCCTCCACTTAATCAAGTATGTCACGTGTTTCCTTCCCATGCTCTTCTTTCTCTCTATCCGTCCTGTGAGTGTCAGTTTTTCCAAGCTCTCCTTCCTCATTACGTGTACCAGAAATTTCAACTGCATCTTCCTGATGTTAAGTAAAAAGTTTCCTCTTTGTTTTCATTCTCTTCAACACCTTGTCTTTGATCACATGTTCGGCCTATGTTATCCTCAGCCTCCTCCTGTAGAACCATATTTCTGTTGCTTTGATTCTCCTCTTCATCTTTGAGGAGATTGTCTAGCATTCGCTGTTATGCAGGAGGACAGATATCATATAGCAGTTTAGTCCTCTTTTGCTTGTTTCTAACAAAGTTTTTCTGTTTCTTAATAATCTGCTTAGATTTTGAGCACTTCTTACAAATTCGAAAAACTATTTCTCTTTTAATCTTTGTACAGGTGAGGCCCATACAAAAGTGAGAGGTTGGCGACAATCTAAAAATGGACAGAACAGAACCCCGAGCAGTTATAAAACATCTGGAAAAGAAAAGTATGAGACCCAAGGAAATCCATGAGGACATGGTACTCACCGAGGACTCCCCTTCCTATGCAACTTGGAAGAATTGGGTTGCGGAATTCAAGCGGGACAGAGACAGTACAGATGACCCCTTGCCAGGTCGTCCAAAAACCTCAACCACGGATGAACAAGTTGATGTCATTCACCTTTTGGATGACAGACATCTTACTCTCCAGTAGAGAGCTAAGGTCATAGGCATTTCTGGTTCGTTCCATACTCTTTTAACTGAAATCTTGGGGATAAGAAAGTTGTCTGCAAGATGGCTCTCAAGAATTCTGTTGACATCTCCTGGGCACTTCTGACTCACTTCCAGGATGACCTTGAGAATTTCTCCTGAGTATGTGAATAAACTACATCCGCGTCCTGGGTAAGACGATAAACTACGTCCAACAGCAAAGCCTCTGAGCAGGATGTTTTGAGAAGCGTGTAACCACTTCTTGATAACTGTTGTTCCCAGGTCCACCCTGACCCTGGGTGGTAACACCTGTTAGGGTCCCAGCTATGGGTAAATAGTTAACCCACAAATTGGGGTCAAAAATGAAAGTGTAAAAATAGGTTTTAATACCAGAAATACTTTGTAAAAAATTATTACTAGCCATACATTTTTGAAGAAAAATATTCCATGAAACGGATTTTTGAAAGAAAAAATATTAGCAGCAATAAAAATTGTCTATATTAAATAACCCACTGAGGTTGTAAAACAAAACAAACCAAACCAAACTTTGCGAATTTTCACAGCCGATTAGTGACTCAAAATGAAACCTGGGTTCACCATTTTGAACTTGAATCAAGGATTCAAAACAAAAAGGGGAAACACTGTGTTTCTCCAACCCCGAAGAAGTTCAAACAGGCAGCGTCTGTTGGCTTCTGTGTTTTTTCTTTGTCTTCTAAAGGAATAATCAGGATAGAATTCATGGAAAGTGAAAAAAAACTGTTAATGGACAGTACTAAGTATCAGATTTAAGACAACTGAAGGAAGAAATCAAGTCAGAAACGAATGGGGAAGCTGAGGACAAGGGTCCTTTTCTCAAGGATCAAACGTCTGCCTCGTCAGTCATGTATCGAAAGATACATGATCGCCTAAGCATGTATCGCGCATGACACATAACTGACTGACTGCAGATAGCAGACGTCTCATTGTCCAGCAGATAGCCAAGTCCATAGACATTAGTTCTTGTTCGGTCCATACTGTTTTAACAGAGATCTTACGGATGAGCAAGCTGTCTTTAAGATGGCTCCCATGAATGCTGACACCAGAACTGAAGCTGAAAATATTTGACATTTTCAAAACACTTCTGATCGCTTCCAGGCTAACCTTGAGAATTTGTACCGCAGATTAGTATCTCAAAAGGAAACCCGGGTTCACCACTTCGAACTTGAATCAAAGATTAAAAGCAAACAGTGGAAACACTCCGGTTCAAGAAGTTCAAGCTAGCAACGTGTGTTGGTTTCTGTTTTTTGGGATACTTAAGGCGTCATGATGATAGACATTCAAAAGTTATAAGCCTCACCCAAAAAGAAAAGTCATAAATGAATATTTTTACATTTTTACCCATTGCCGGACAGCTCCCTTATATTGAAACGCTTGTTTTGCAAAACATTACATAACTACAACGGACAAATTTAAAAACACTAAAATACCTATTATAAAGATCGGTCACACTTGATTTTAAAAATCACCATGGCAACGGAATGCAGATTTTTGAACAGTTACATTAGGCTTTGCTTTTGTAATTTAGCCCTGAAGATGATCTTGGAAAAGGTCGAAAGTAAAAGAGAAAAAAGAAACTAACGAATTTCATCTTAACATCAGGAAGTTGATTAAACAAATAGAAAGGATCAGTATAAAAAAGAAGTAGAGAAAATTCGTTTATATTATTCAATGAAACATGTTTGACTGAAAATAAATAAAAAATTATATATATATATATAAATATATATATATATATATATATATATATAGAGAGAGAGAGAGAGAGAGAGAAGAAAGAGAAAATAGTATTGATAGGAATCCGACAAATTAATAGGATAAAGAACAAGTAGGAAACACATCTTAATCTAACATGTTTTACTTTATTAAAGATTTGTCAGAGATGCAGATTAATGGTCTTTTGTGTTTGGCTATTTCTTATTGGTTAGTTAGGTCTCTAACTTCCTGCAGTTACACACACACACACACACACACACACACACACACACACACACACATACATATATATATATATATATATATATATAAATTGATTAAAATATATTTTAAATCAATTTATTTATAATATTAATGCTCTGTAAATTTACAGAAAGCACTATTTTTGTAAAAAAAAAATATCTATAAGAATACCGGATTATATATTAAACTGTTCTTTCTTTATATATATATATATATATATATATATATATATATATATATATATATATATATATAGTATCAAATGACAATTGGAATAAAAAAATCTTACATTCGGGAAAAAAAATTTCTAAATTTTTTTACAAAAAATAAATTTAGACAGAAGCGTCTATCTTTTTTTTTCAATTTTTTAATAAAAAGGCTTAGACAGAAGCGTCTATATTTTTAAATTTGGATTCTTTAATGTAACTATAACAAAAAAACATTTTCGATTTCATTTTTTGCCTTGAAAAAGTCGGAAACGAAACGCGTGGAGCAAAATGTAAAATTTTTTTCAATTGTCATTTGATACCAATCTGTCTTGTCCACAGAATTCATCTGGGAATTTAACTATATATATATATATATATATATATATAAACTTATTGGGAACACCAACATAATATACCGCGAAAATAATAAACAAAAACTCCAAATTCTCAAGACCCTTTATATCAAAATTGTCTAACATTCAACAAAATTTATTACGAATATAGCAACAACATATTAAAATGCATAGGACTTAAATGCCATTTTACATTTTTACCCATTGCCGGACAGCTCCCTTATACTGAAACGCTTGTTTTGTAAAACATTCCATGAATACAACGGATAAATTTAAAAATTCTAAAATAATTATTATAAAACTCGGTCACGTGTAATTTTAAAAAATCACTATGGCAACGGAATTCAGATTTTACTTTAAATTTATTTTAATTTTTCAATTAATCAAAAGATTCAAACATATTCTATGCAAAACACTTGACTACACATAAAGTCAGAGAGAGGTTGAGAGAGAGAGAGAGAGAGAGAGAGAGAGAGAGAGAGTGAGAGAGTGAAAGAAAGAAAAAGAAAGAAAGAAGGTAAGCGAAACAATGTTATTAGAGAAGAGGGAGAAAGTGAAAGAAAGAAAAAGAAAGAAAGAAGGTTAGAGAAACAATGTCATTAGAGATGTTCAGTCAATCTCCGTTATGGCATCGAAGATGAAGAAGTGACCCAAAGCAACAGAAATATGGTTATACCGGAAGATGCTGAGGATAACATAGGCCGAACATGTGATCAAAGACAAGGTTTTGAAGAGAATAGAAACAAAGAGAAAACTTTTACTTAACATCAGGAAGAGGCAGCTGAAATTTCTGGAACATGTAATGAGGAAGGAAGGTTTGGAAAATTTGATACTCACAAGACGGATAAAAGGAAAGAAGAACAGGGGAAAGCAATACGTGACATACTTAATGCGCTTGAGCACGTGGATGGTGGAACGGGATGTGGGAGAAATAACAAAAAGACAAAAAGGGAGAGGAATGTGTGGACGGCCATGATCACCTACGTCCTGTCCATATATATATATATATATATATATATATGGACATATATATCCTGCACAAGGCCTTCACCACTATAAACAAATCTCATGTGCCGGTGTCGGGATGTCGGTTCCTGGGGACTTATCGGCCTGACCCTCATACGTCGAACGCGACGTGAGAGTCGATTATATATATATATATATATATATATATATCGCAGGTTATTCACATCTGTCTTTCTGTCTGTCTGTCTGTCTGTCTGTCTCTATCTATCTATCTATCACAAGCTATTCACATCTATCTATCTATCTATCTATCTATCGCAAGCTATTCACATCTATCTATCTATCTATCTATCTATCCTCATCCAACACATATAATCTGTTTTTCCGTGTGGTATTCTTGCTTTCATTTTCTTTGTTAATCGTCACGCTTTTCACTAGAGTCAGTGTCTGAATCCGGCCAAACACGGAAACAAAGAAACTAGTTTCAAGTTTGTGTTAGGCCCGATTACCAACAGAAATATGGTTCTACAGAAGGATGCTGAGGATATTATAGGTCGAACATGTGATCAAAGACAAGGTTTTGCAGAGAATGGAGACAAAGAGGAAACTTATATTTTTCAATTAATCACAAAATTCAGATTTTTGTCTTAATTTCTCTGTAGGTGAGGCTCATTTAAAGGTGAGACAAATCTAAAAATAGACAAAACCAGTTCCCGAGCAGTCATAAAGTATCTGCGAACGAAACGAATTGAAAAGACGTAGATAAGGATTCGCGATTTTTGAAGATCAAAGCTGACTGAGACGCAAGAAGCCGAAAAAGATTTCCTCAAGCGAAAAGTACGATGCAAGAAACTGTTATCATAGTACTTACGGTTACACTCGCCACTTCAACTGTAAAATGATGAGACCTATCCACCAATCGAGTACTGCGCTTAAATTCATAAAATCTAGAGAGGCTCATGCTTAAATGTTGAAATTTCATAATAAAAATAATAATAATTAATGATTTGGTATATGTTTTGAAATTGGTATGAGTTAATTCAATTTTACTTTAATAGTTAATAGCTATCTTATTTATAACTAGCACTAGAGCCCGGCGTTGCCCGGGGATGTAACAGTAAGAGATAGATCAAGTATCGACCAACATAAAGACTGAAAAATAAAATTGACAAAGATTATTGTTTAAGGTTGACGGACACGCATGTCTTAATTAGTTTTTTGTTTTTTTTTACGAATTGGTAAAACCCAAACTCAAACAAAAACATTGTTTTCAATCATTATGAGTCTACCGATTGAATAGAATTTTATTATAAACAATTGTCTTGTAAATGGAATTTTTAAAGCATTCTGAATGTAAACATAAAGAAAAAAGTGTGCAAGACAATAAGAAACACTACCTGCCAAAAAAAAAGTGAAGATTTGTTGAAATCGGTTGAAAAATGTAGGAAATCCGATCCCATATATAAAAGAACACACAAACACACACACAAACAACCTGGGTTTTATAAGTATAACTCGATATGAGTTGTCCCCCTTTCATTCTCGGGATGCCTCTTAATCGTGTTTTCAAATTGATTTCGTGCAAAAACAATTGTGTTTTCCAATTTTTGGCGCTTTCAGAACCACCGTAGTCCTTGTGAAGTTTTGTTGAAATCGGTTGAAAAATGTAGGAAATCCGATCCAGTATATAAACGTACACACACACACACACACACACACACACACACACACACACACACACACACACACACAAACTGGGTTTTTTAATAAGTATGATTTCCATTATCTTCTTATTTGTATGCGTTCCATTTTAATATTGTGGCTAAATTCATAAAGTCTAGGTCCCATTGCGGGAAGTTCATCAGAACAACTACAATGAAATCATTTATAGAAAAGGCAGAGGGTGGCTACGTTACAGAGGTAGGAAAGGGACTTTAGCCGAGATGCCAGATCAGGACCAAAATAACATTGGGCATCTGAAGACGAATATTCATTGTCAGGTTCTCTTGCTTGATAATCTATTTCAAATTTTCTTAGTTCATAGGATTTTTGCATGTGTGCGCGTTTTTGCGCCTAGAGGGTAATTTTATTTACGTCTGTATGTTGATTGGGGTATGTCTTGAATGGGAGTTAAAGAATTTAGGTTACACCGGTTGTGGTAGTGCCTGGAATGACCATAGATCCTTTAAGTCTGGATTTTATAAAAGTTAGTGAGATAATAAAGTACGTTTGGCGTATGTTAAATATTTATCAGGATTCATTCTAAGTATTTTCTATGTAACACACACACAGAGATACACATTTATATATGAATGAAAAGAGACAAGAAGAAAAACTATATTTCCGATATGTTTCGTCCTCTGTGGAACTTGATCAAGGCAATCAAGTCCCTCAGAGGATCTAGAAAGGTATCTTCTTGTCTCTCTTCAAAATTGTTACCCTCTTCTACAGATACACTCCATTTACATACATACATACATACATACATACATACATATATATATATATATATATATATATATATATATATATATATATAAATAGGTTTAAATAGGTCCAGGTCCTGTCTCTCCTCCTCCGCCAGTACTAAGTATGATTGAGAAAAATATTAAATTAAACCCTCTCTAAACTCTAGCATGTCTCTCTAACCACTCCTTATTTCCCTCTCTCTTAAATTACAAAAACTAACACTACCCATCAATTTTCATTTCATTTTTCGTTTCATCCTTTGGAAGCGCTATCTGATAATTTGGCGTCATTTAAAAGGGCTCTGCTGAAATAAATTATTACAATGAAACCTTAATATGGTCTGTTTTTCTTTAAATATATTTATATATATTCACATGATATATATATATATATATATATATATATATATATATATATATATGTATATATACGTGTATATATATATACACATTTTAATATATATATAAGAAATATTTCTTTCTCCTGATGTAGCCATTTTGACCGAAACTATTCGAGGAATATAATGAAATAATAATAAAAATAAATGAAAGAATATTAATCTACAACCCAGTTTGTCTGAAGATTTTTAATTTTTTTAATATTTTTTTATTCTTTTATATATATATATATATATATATATATATATATATATATATATATTAGACATTAATTGATTTAAAATGTTTTTTTTCGCTACAAATTTCTAACCATGTTTCAAAAATGGAAGTTGAAAGCTTCGAATTTAATTTTGTTATTAAATTAAAGACATTAGTTCCATTACTCCTAAATTCGCTTGAGGATGAATATTTTTTAATTAATTTATAATATTAATGCTCTGTAAATTTACATCGAGCACTATTTTTAAAATAAAAATATCTATTAGAACACCGATTTTATATATCTTACTGTTCTTCCTTTATTATATATATATATATATATATATATATATATATATATATATATATATATATATATATATATATATATATCAGTATGTTCTTATCTATATATATCTAAATTTAGTGGGCATTTAATTTAAGCCCTTATGTTGATTAAGAGATTTTTTTGTGTTGGAGTTGAGGTTACACCAGTTGTAGTTGTGGCTGTGCGCAGGAAGTAATCTTATATTACTTTTATGGATTTCATAATAGCTGAACCGTTTGCTTTACATATGGGCTCCCTCTACAGATGAATGGCTAATAGATGTGTAAATGAATGACTGAAGAAAGATGTTTTTATTTGCTATGGTTTATACAATACAAGGCCCCAGAACACAGTAAGTTATTTGCCGATTGAATGTGCTTGTAATAATCATGTATTATGAGACTATAGAGAATAGATATAAGTTGACCCTAGACATGAATTTTGTAGATATCGGGGTGGCATTCTCTTGGTAGTATCTTCTATCAAGCGGCGGTTTCTGGGAGGTTGTTTCCCGAATTGAACTTCCAACTTACCAATGGATTACGTAGGGAATAGTGGCGATTCGACCCTGTTTTTTTATGACCCGGCGGCTAATATCTGTAAAAATCTGAACTGTTTGAACTCGTAAAGGCAGCTCGTAAGAACCTTTTTCCACTGAACTAGCAACGGTCTTGAGACATTTCGTTTGTGGACAAGCAGTTGTAAGGTGGAAAATAATTAATCGCCTACAAGGCCGTGTAAATACTTAGTAAAGAGAAGAAAGCACTTCTTTTCATGGCCAAATCTGTCTTCTCAAGTTATAGCATGGAGCCAGGTGCTTACTGGAGCGGCTTAAGATGCCGAACATTTATCCAATGTCTTATATATATGCTCATTTTCTAAGTGTAGCTAAGATGTGGCAAAATGCCGAAAAATGGTGAACCTTGTGGAAATCGAACTCACTAACCAGTCGTAATTGTTCTAGATAGATAAACTTGTTAACCATTACACTACGCCCAGGTGCCGTCAGTGTCTTATATATGAGTTCTATTTGAGGCCTGGGGCTAATATGAGTCCCAACAGATGCCCAATTCTTGGATGATATAGTTTTTATTATTGAGGGTCGAGAACAAGAGAAGAGTAATCAGGAAGACAGTAGATAACGATTGACATTACATTTACATTTTTCAAGATCAAAGTTGGTCGGAAAGAATGAATCCGAAAGAGAATTCTACAATCCGAGAAAAAGAAACTGTTAGCATAGAACTTACGGTTAGATCTAGCCAATTCAATCTTAAATTGATGAGACCTAACTGCCACTCTAGTACTGCGCTTAAATCCATAAAGTCTCGGTACCATAGCGAAAAGCTCATCTAAACAAGACATTTTGTTAAAGTCCTGATACAGTTCATTAACATCTAAAATACTACGTCGGTAAAATTTTCTAGTGAAACGTATATTAACTGTTTTTTAAAGGACATGAAGAAAAGTTACTTCGGCGTTATGCCTTACATATCTCGGCAGATCCACACATCTCGGGTGTGCGGGTGGTGTAATGGATAATGGCTCGGAATTGTTAATGGAAGAGCCGAGTACCAATTCCAGTTGGATTCTTCGGATTCATTTACGTGCAAATATATTTGGGAAAGGTATGACTTTACCTCTTCTCCTCACAAGCTGTGGATTAATTAGTAAGATTTTTATCACTAAATCGTTAATATCTTAAAAAGAATAATCTAAAAACATTTTTTGGCTTTAAATAACCTTCAAAGGGTTGATAAACCGTGAAAAACGAATCCAGCAATCAATGAAATACTGATTAGCTACACTAGACATGTCTTTTAGATTTATTTAGTCTCTGGAATATGAACGTATAGAAAATGAGAGATCAGTTTATATAATGATTGTAATATAGAAATGACCCCTAATTTATACCCACATTAGAATTTTTTGTTTGTTCATCAAATTCTGATTACTTATGAATCTACCTCTTCTCCTCTAGCTATGGGTTAATTAGTATGTGTTGCATCAATAAATAAGTATTATCTAAAAAATAAAATTTTCTTACTACCTAAAAATATTATCTTACTTTTAATAAACTGTAAAGGGTTGATAAGCCGTAAAAACAGATCAATCAATTCGAAAAACAATTTTACTCTTACAAACAATTGGCTAAAATGACTAGGAGAAATAACACCGTCAAATACCTTGAATCATAATTAAATAATAATAAATAAATAATAAAAGGGTTGTAAGAAAATTTGAAAAAATAAGAGAGCCCGTCAAGCTAGAGCGTTACCGAATGTTAGATATTAATGTAAGAGTTGTTAGAAAAGATGTTTATGAGGATAAAGAACGATTGGCCCTTGATTTGAAGCTAAGAGTGTAATGTCCAGGAAAGCATATACGCGGGAGTCTATTCTACGAAATATCAATTCTTGGGCTAAAAGCTGTTTTATAATTGGAATAGGAAAGTTAGGGTTTAAGAATATATCAACTTATGGGTCATTTCATTCCGAATTTTAATTTATGAGTCATTTAATTCCGAAATTGAATTCCCTCGGGATGTTTTGTCTATTAAATCTTGTTTTTACTATTAAAACCCTATTGCTGGAATTTTTTACTATAACAATATATTTTTACACTTTCATACTTGATATTTACACCAGGTCAACTTTGCCCATAGCTGGGACCCTAACAGGTTGGTCGTGGGAACAAGAGCAATTAAGAGGTGGTTCTACGCCCCACAAAACCACTCGATCAGAGGCCAGACGTAGTTTATCGTCATACCCAGGACGTGAATACGGAGGTAATGAGGCTGGTTCGACTGCGTGGAGGGAGCATGTTATGTCAAAGTCTGAACTGGTGGAACTAAAATATTATGACTATATTAACTTTTCACTGTTAACTGAACAATAAAAGTGTAAGACAAATGCTTTTTTTGAGGTTAAGGCTACAAACTTCCCGATTCAACTACATATATAATCAGGTCATTTTAATGTCGAGAGAAAGTAAATTTCATTATCGGAAACAGGATATATTTAATATTGGCTTTCTGAAATTGCAGGTTAAAAACTTGTGAACTTCAAATTAAAATGAATCTTTTTTTGTGTGTGTGTTTGGGGAAACTTCCTAATTATTTGATCAAAAGTCAGGATTTCCTTTGATTGAAGGCCAGGAAAAAATTGGGAAACTTCAATTTCGTTCTTTCCTTTTTCTTCTTTCTTCCGTTTTTTTTTTTTTTTTTTTTTTTTTTTTTTTCTTCTATGTTTAATTCAGGCTTCAAATCTGTCTTTTTTAGTTTTGTCACCTGCGTTTTTACCTTCTACATTTATCTAATTCCTACATCTTCCAAACTGCCAATATTTCTCCATTTTTATTTTTATTCCCTCACTCCATTATTCCTTCTCCTAGACCCACCCTTTCTTCTTCTTCTTCTTCTTCTTCTTCTCCTTCTTCCTCTTCTTCTTCTTCTTCTTCTTCTTCTTCTTTCCTCACTTCCTCCATTATTCCTTCTCCTAGACCCACACTTTTCTTCTTCTTCTTCTTCTTCTTCTTCTTCTTCTTCTTCTTCTTCTTCTTCTTCTTCTTCTTTCCTCACTTCCTCCATTATTCCTTCTCCTAGACCCACCCTTTCTTCTTCTTCTTCTTCTTCTTCTTCTTCTTCTTCTTCTTC